GTGCGGGGCATATGTGCGGAGTCAGGAAACAACAGCCGGCGTGTAAAGCAGCAATTGCTCCCGGGGGGGGAAAACAGGGGAGGAGGGGAGGAGGGCAGGGGGGGGCATGCGGGTTGCCTTGCGAGATTTGTAGAGTGGAGCTGTGTGTTGTTGAGTATGGACCGGTCGAGTGCTTTTTACTTAGGGCACGCGCATATTGACGATTACCCCCGCCCGGCTGCCCGGCTGCCCCCCCTCTCCCCCCCTCTCCCCCCGCCCGCCCCCTCTGCCTCAACCCAGGCGCTACCCGGGTTTCTCCTTGGTGCTGATGTCCATGTACGCCATATTGATGATGATTGTGTTCATGAACCTGTTGATTGCCACCATGAACGACACCTACGATCGAGTCAAGGTGAGCGGCATTGCGGTGGTGTGTCTGTGTGTTTAGCGGCGTAAGGCTTTGTGTGGCGTGTGGTGTGTGGTGTGCAAAGGTGTAGCGGGTGCACAAACGTTTGACGAGGAAACGTACGGACTTCTGGCGTACCCGGCCGTGCCCCTCTACCCGGTCCGACACCGCGGGGCAGGTGGGGCGAGACGGCTGCCCGCTACATCGGCCAGCTCCCTGTCGAGCACGTGTGCCAGTCCGTGTGTCAGTCTGTCTCTTTGTCCGTCTGTTAACGTAATCCTAACAGTCCAACTCATTCCCCATCGCGAGGCCGTGCTTTGTCCGGGGGAGCGGCCAAGGAAGCGCCACAGGCGGTGGATCCTGCGGCGGCCGTGTAGCGCGGCCGTGTAGTGGCTGTCGTACAGTACGGCAATGCATAAAAGCCATAGATACGCACGGAAGCGGTTTGCCAGCATCTTCGGAGCTCGTAATGTGAGCCCGTAGTGAAAATGTCGCCCCACGCTTTCCTTAGCCCTTAACCCCCTTTCCCATCCGGCCCCTGTCCGCTCACACTTCCCCATAACGTCCTGCTTCCGGGCCGCGCCACGCACACATACATACACACATACATATATACGTACACACATACATATATACATACATACATACATACATACACACATACATACATATATACGTACACACATACGTACATACATACAGGAGTTCTGCGAGGTGGAGGTTATGCGGCTTCGTTCCCACATGATGGTGTTTGTGAAGGACTTCATGGAACGAGGCGCTCGGCCGCAGGTGTGTGTGTGGGGGGGGGAGCGGCCGCCATGTTGTGCTATGCGGTACCTACGGCATTACGGTATGTTATGTAATGTTGTGCTGTTGCCGACTTCGCCGCCGTGTTCGGAAACCGCTCGGGGGGGCCCTAAAAGAGGAGCTTTAGGCTGCGTTCGCTATAGCTGTCACACACGGCTCTACTGACCTACCTGTTATGAGTAGCAAAGCGCCTGAACCCCTTTGAGGTCCTTGTACTGCAGTCTCACTTCACTGGTGTATGAGTGCCGGTCACTTTCCAACACTACCCCCCATAACATTCCCCCTCCTCACCGCTCCCAAACGCCTCTCTCGCCCAATTTCCCCTGCCGTTACTGGGGGTACTACCCTGGGTGCTACTGCTACTGCTACTGCTACTGCTACTGCTACTGCTACTGCTACTGCTACTACGGCTAATGGTACTGCCACTGCCACTGCTGCTGCTGCTACCCCTGCGGTCACTCGCCTCTCTACAGCGTCTGGAGCCTCTGGATGGCGAGGCCCTTCACCTGCTGCTCCGTCCTGAAGCCCTCAAGTCCAGCAGACTGCTCACCCTGGGGTCGGCAGATCCCGCATCTGAGAACAGCTCCTGGATGGGACGTATAACCTACATGCGCACTTCGATTGTGCGGGAGGTTTCGGAGGTGGTACGGCAGCGTGCTGATGCGCAGACGGCGGCCATATCCTCCCGGCTTGACCAGGTTGAGGCGGAGGTGATGGGGTTGACGGGCGATAGGGTGGGGGCGCTGGAGAGGCGGATGGAGCGGCTTGAGAGGGGGATTGAGCTGCTGCTGGTGCAGAAGGAGGCGGCTGCTGGCGTGTAGGATGGGAAGGGGATGTAGGATGGTGTACGTGGGTTTGGTTTAGGGAAAGCATGATCGGTCGGGGGCCCCCGGCTTGGAAAAGGACAGGAAGGCTAAAGAGTTTTCGGAAGAAACGCTGCGGACGATGATGCATTCTCGAAGAACGAGATCGAATGCGGGAAGTGAACACGAGTGGGGTGGAGAGGAGGCGGGAGGGAGGGGGAGGGTGTTGCGGGACCCTGCCGGGACCCGTGTTGTCGACAGGTTGACCCGTGTTGTGGAGGGCCTGTTGGCGCTGCAGAAGCCCCTGCGTATGTGTATGTACGTATGTGTATGTATATATGTATGTGTATATATGTGTGTGCCTGGAGTGCCACGTCATGCGAGGGGGGTTGTGAGCGGGGTTTCTTCATTTCGGTGGCTGAGTGCTGGCTGGGCCCCGATTCATGGAGGCGATTGGGGTGGTGGCGTGCAGCACGCACATGCATAACACGCATAGCACCTACCTTTTGTGAATTGGACGAGACAGGTGGCGTAAGGAAATAATGATGGTGGTGGCGACCTTTAGAGGGTGTGCCGTACAGTGAACAGGGATAAGCGCGATGGTAGAGACTCGGATGGAGGGACGGAGGTTTGTTGCCTGCTGGCTGCGGCAACCCTCTCACAGGCGGCCTAGGGCTGTTGTGGGGATGTGTTTAGGGGACATCCGTGCTGGTGAAGTTAAAAAGGAAAACCCTAAGTTAATGAAGCACTCTCCTCTCATGCGCACTCGCACCATCCAGCGATTGTATCGATGTAGCTGTCTGCCAACATAGCTCTCAATGGTATGGCACCCACCTAACGACTTCACCGCTGGGGGTTCTTGAAACCTCATCGCTGCTGACACAGTGATCACAGATATATAAATCACAGACTTGCCAGCTGCCGGCGCCACGGGGCTCGTGGACCCGTCCGAGGATCATTGCACATTGCATGTTCGTGTTTGGGTACTGCTACGGGTCATGGTAATGTTGATTGCTAATGAGGCGGAGCGGGGGGAAGGACCTGTGGTGGGGATGGGATGGCGCAAAGGTACAGACAAACAGATGGGATGCGTAGGTGGGGTTGTATCTGGGACTCAGCTCTCTGTGGGCGAGGGCTGTATCGGGGTGTAGAGCTGGTGGTGTGAGCTCGCGGCCCCGTTGGCGAGCCTGCCACTGCGAGCCTGCTTACCGATTGCCTGCCGTGTACCTTGCGGCGATACTGGTCCTGTCTGTGTAGTGACGGTCCCTGCGCCATTCCCCGGCTGCTCCCTTGCGGCGTTTGGGTGCCGTGGGTGCCTCCTGAGGCGCGCTTAGTAGTGGGGTGGGCATGGCTGAGTTGTGTTCACCAGTGCCCACCCAGTACGGCCATGCGCACCGCGTGTTTCTGTTCTTTGGTGAGACCCCATGTCAATATGGGTCGGGTCGGGAGCAGACTGGGCTGTTTGAACGCATCGCATCGCATATTGGTCCGTTGGAAAGCTGGCCGAGGGTAACAACTGGGATGCTTTGCTGCATGCCATGTATCAGCACATGGTTAATCATCAACCCGTAAGCACTAATGCAGCAAAGGCACGGCCGGGGTGTCAAAAGCTGTCCAAATGAAGTGATTGTTAGCGCGAGTGTCATGTGCGTGTGCGGCAGATCGGTGCGGTCGGTGGTGGTTGGGGTTGGTTACTTATTGCAACGGCTGAGGCAAGCATCATAACGTAAGAAGGCATGGAAGCATCATGCTTCGCGCGTTTGGTGTCTTGTTCTTTTTGTGTCTGAGGAGAACAACGGGACGCGGGCGCATCATGTCCGTAAGCGCAGAACCTTTCAGGTTCAGGTATGCCTGATAGCGTTCATCAACGCTTGTCAGAGCTGTTTGGAAGCCCGGGTTGTTCCGATTGAGGCTCTGGCGTGGACCTTCCTCGACGCCCCCTCCCTCTCTCCTCAGCGACAACACTGATGAAGAAGGATGGGGGCGCTGCCGCTTGGTGCCATAGCGAGGCGGGTTTCACTTGGACATAGCCTCGTATGACCCAGTTCAGCGGGCATGACAGGGTGCACGCGCAGTCACTTCGTACAAAGGGGTCATTAAGAAGCGTGTGCTCTACGGACCGTGCTGACAGCGGCACACGGGGGCGCGGGGGTTGTTTCCCGGCGTGGAATGTAGACCGATGGGAGCAGGTATGTCGTGTCGTCGAGCTCTTGTACGACAAGCCCTGCAACGCGGCGGGGGTGTTTCTCCGGGCCAAGTGTCCGCGGGTGATGCACGTCCTGTGGGGGGCATTATGGAAACACCGTCATCGATGTTGTGAGTCCGGAGCCTGTGACACTGAAGCTGTACGGCTGGGACACCGATAGCGACCGCACGGAGGCCTAAGGTGCGTTCTTGGGCAGCAACTGTACGGATATCGTACGGCATGGTCGGCCCCACCTTGCTATCGGTTTCAATCGCACATGAGAAATCAGGACACGCGTTACATTTGACTTGGCCAACACAGAAGTAACAACAACAACAACAACAGCTGCAGCTGCAGAGCAGCCGGTCGTGGAGCATCCTTCTGGCGTGGTTTTACAGTTAACGACACCGCCGAAGACAGCTTGGATTTCTTAGCAGCAGCCTGGTCGCAGTGCCTGCGGGAGGGGGAGGATGCACGGGGAGCTGAGCTGGGCTGGTTGAGGGAGCGGGCGGCCGATTCAGTGATGCATGTGCGGCTGGAGCGCTCTCGGCCGTTAGGGGCCTTCTCCTAGAGTCTTCTCCTTCTCCAGGGTCTTCTCCTCGGCAGGTCGTGTGCTGCAGACTAGCAGGTCCCACAACAACATGAGCTGCAAAACTGCACTTTATCACTTAAGCCAAGGGGAGTGAAAGAGCCAGGAAGGAACACACAGACACATGAAGGGGGTAACAGGTAAATCCGGCAGGGGGGTCCGATTGGTGGGGAGGCCGACGGAAACCTCTAGGCGGGTGGTACGGCAGGATGATAGCTTTGTTGCTGGCATGGCTCATTTCCTTGCAGCTGCCATATTGTGGCCCGTATAAAGGTCAGCTCCGCCATGCTGCAGGCAAAACGCTAGGAGATATCTCAGGGGTGGGGTGGGGTTTAAGCGTCAGGTCTCCAGTATTTTTGTGTTCCTTGCCATGTGCTTTCCCTCTCTGTTCCTTATCTAATCATCGGGAGTTTCTGGTGAAGCAGCTGGCTGCGTTTACTGCGGCTTCGTAGGGTGACCGGCCGTACGGTGGCGATAGTGGCTTGCCGTGCAGAACGTGTGTGAAGGGGAATGGTAGTGTGCAGTTTGCAGCATAGGAAGCGCCGGTGTGTGTGTGTGGAAGAGTTTCATGAGTGGGTGGGTGGGTGGGTGGGTGGGTGGGTGGGTGGGTGGGTGGGTGGGTGGGTGGGTGGGTGGGTGGGTGGGTGGGTGGGTGGGTGGGTGGGTGGGTGGGTGGGTGGAAGCCAGCAGAGTGGATGTGGACAGCTTGTTCAGACGGCCGGACACACATCACATCACATCCGTTTACACACACGTTAATGCAGGGAAAATGTATCACGCCCCGGCACTGTCGACGGCACAAAGTTTGTCGAACCGCGGTGCACTTTAGGGTGCGGTTGTGCAGTGAGCGGCGGGGATGTCGGGCAGGTCTTTAGGCACCAAAACAAGCGGGCGGCTGTGGTGGATGCAAAGTTGAGCTAAACGTGCACAAGGCTGCCAGCAGCAAATGTGGCAAATATGTCGAGAAGGCACACACACAGGTCGTCTAAACTGGGGTTTCAGCCGTCCGTTGACAAGTGCTCACTGATACTGCAACCCCACGCAGCCATGTGTTTGCATGTGGCAGGCATGTCGCAGGCATGTCGCAGGAGCAGGTGACCTAGTGACCCTGAGTCCTCGTAGCAGCCAAGCTAGCGAAGCCATTACTTTTGTTTGCTGCTTTCTTCCCGCGTCACCGCGAGCTTTCCTTCATAATGATTTTTTGCGCTTCTAAGCAGTTTAATTGTGCTGTGGACTGCGGCTGGTGCCGCTTGCGAGGCGTGCATGCAGCTCCGGACATGTGCGTGTGGCACGCCATGCAGGATGCTGCATCCTTGGGGCCCCAGTGCACTGTGGGAAGTGTCGATGTATACCGCCTGCATGATGTCCGCCACGCGTGATCTCTGGCACGACATGAGTACACACAAGCGGAAGTGCTGTTGGAACGGCTGGTATGCTTCCCCCACCCATGCACATGCAGTGTGCACTTCCCCCACCCATGCACATGCAGCCTGACACTGCATGTGCATGGGTGGGGGAAGTGGGCATGGGTGCAGAAGTGTTCATATGGATCGACAGACTGGCCCACATGGGGTGTGTGGGACAGGGGGGCATATCTTCACCCGTGGCCACTATCCGGCGAAATCCTGCGTTCTCCGGTATTTCGGGGCACCATCATCTAGTCACCCTAATCAATTTCTCAGAGGAACGCTAAGGTTCCGCACCCACCACCAGCATCTAATGGAATCTGCCGGATCGACGGCGGCGCAACTCCATTCCTGGTCGGCTCGCAAGTCAACTTTATCCCAGATCATCACCGTCCTTTATCTATGGCACTTTACCTTCCACCATTGGGAGAGTTTTTGACCCTGACACGTCTCGATCCCGGGATCTTCCCGGGGCAATGGTCCGTGCCTTACCAATAGTGCCATACCCAGGAAGGCAGCCTGGAAAAACCCGACGCCCACATCCACCAGCGCCAGTCGCATGTGATCCCCAGGGTCCAGTTCGACACAACCGCCTCGATGTAGTCGGGCGGTAGGAACACAACATGCTGCAGGCGCTCATTATTGCCCTCATTGCTGGGAACGGCGGCCGCGCAGTGGGGCCGTACAGGTGCCGCCTGCCGTCGGGGGTTGTGTTGCTGCCGGCATGCAGGGAGGTTTGAAAGGATTAGGGTGGGATACCGGCAGCATTGTCCGGGGGGTAACGGTTGGCCAGCACTGCTGCTCGTTCCTGGAGGGAAGCTGCAGACCCGCAGAGGGTTCACACACCATGAGTGCTCCGACCATAAGGGTGGACGCCACTGCCTGCCATGCCGTGAGGCGCCTGCCAATGCCGGGCATGTTGCCACGGCCCTGCCAAGACAGCCCAAAGTATGCTGGTGCAATGCTGGCCCAATGGTCATCGATGTCAGGTAGGTTGAACAGCGCCACCGTTGTGTGAATTACGCTTTGGCCGTGTTTAATGATTGTCTTCGTGCAGTTAGTAGTGCTGCATGATTTCCGTTTTGGGACAGCAGGAGGCAGTGAAATGTACCGGACAGCAGTTTTCAGTGGTGCTATTTACGGAGCAAAGATTTTGAGAGCTAACGCAGGATGGTAATTGCATATAAGCTTCTTGTAATGTACCAATGCCGCTTTTCGTCTGGGAGAGGTTCTGGGTGTCGACCCTTGGGCCCATCAGGTCAGATTAGTCCTAACTACTTATGCATTAGGAATTGTCGTGTGAAGTTTGTGGATCTGTGCCTCGAGAGATTTTCATACGTGTGCACCATTCTGACTGATATAGTCTTTGTTGAGGAGTACGAAAAATGCGCTAATTGAATGCTTCGATTGACGGTATCGTAACTGAGCATCTAAATTCGTTCGCAAGAAATATCCTTTTTGTTATTTATGCCGCCCCACTATGCAGTCAGGCGATAGAAACCAAGCCTGTTGTGACTGCTTCAAGACATTCAGTTGTAACCTACGACGAACCTGACGGATTTGAATAGACGGTAATACAATACATATCGTTTTACCTCCTTGTGGACTATCGAAGCAAATCGCTTGGAGTGTCCCCACAGGCTCAGCCATGGCCTTGGCTTGACTATGAGCATTCAAGCTCAACGAAAACGGTTCCTTCATGAGGGAACATTATTCGGGCATAGAGAGGCAGTAAGCAACCTATCTTTTGGGAGTTAGACTGACCTTGCATTTCCTGAGCTTCCGTCTGTGCAAATTGCAGGCCCTCAACTACTGAACTGACAGATACCAGACGCTCAGATACACAGGCAGCTGCTTCAGACGTCGCGTCGGATACACAGCTAGCGCACCTGCCTTCCCCAACAGGGGGCTGGGCGGGGACTGGCATCCGCCAAGCACCATCAACAGACAGCCTTGCTCGCCATTCGTTGCAAAGCATAATAGATAGCTTGCAACCCAAAGCTACGGGAAGCAGCTTTCGTGAGGAAGCCCGGCTGGAAGCCACACCGCTGGGCGAAACAGTTGCTCCCGCCAGCTTGGCCCCAAGCTCAAAAACACCATCGCACAGCAGCGTTGACAACATTGAAGGAGTTTCGGTTGGCGAAGACAGTCCTTCAGCGCCTTCTAAGAAAGACTCCGAGGCCCAGCGGCTCTTGCCTGTGGCCACGGTCAACCTGCCGGGCTCAGCCGATGCGGGCCCCGGCAGCGGCGGCCCTAGAGGCAGCACCCCCGACCTCCTGCGCTTGGAGCGCGTGGAGCTGCCGCCGCCGCCACCGCCGCCGCCGCCCTCCCTGCAGCTGCACCAGCAGCAGCAGTCCCCTGAGCCCAGGGGGGCCAGCCGACACCATTCCGGCTGCGAGCTGCTGGTTGCCGTACCGGAAAGTACGGACTACATGTACGAGGAGGAGGAACTTGACCGGCTGGCCAGGTCGCCGCAGTTCCTTAGTGAACGCGCAAAGGTTAGGCTGGGTGGGGCGCGGCGGGGATGGGGAGCCCTGTCGCGGGGCTGGGAAGGGGAGCCGGGTCGGGCGGAGGGACATATCATGCATGCCTGCAACTGCGTGGCGCGTGAGCACCGCCGTGAAACCCACATGGCAGAGCGACCCAGATGGCTGCGTAGGTCGCTCGCGCGTGTGCGCACTTTCTGTCGCTTTGGGAAAGACGCGCGATGCGCTACCACAGCTGTCATGACATTTAAATCCTCGCGGAGCCGCTTTGCCTCAACCTGCCCCGCCGTGAGCCTGCCTGTGTGAATCGTATAGCCCAGCTTGGGTTTGCGACATCTGAACACGCTCGCTCACATACATACATACATACATGCATACATACATACATACATACATACATACATACATACATACATACATACATACATACATACATACACAAACCTTGTGTGTACACTCCTGCGCGGCTTACTCTATCCCTCCCAGGACCCGGGCTTCACGTTGCTCCACTTCGTGGCCATGCTGGGCCACGGGATGTTGGCGGATGCGCTGCCGGACGACATGATGTCCCGGTACCACCATTTCGCCCGCCTGGCGTCCTGCCTGATCTCCCGGCAGAGGGTGGAAGTGTTCGCAACGGACAAGGTGAGCTGAGCCGGGCACGAGACTGCGGGGCGGGACGGGATGGGACGGGGCTTGGGGGCGTCTGGTTGACGGGACCAGCTGTTGATAGATAAACCCATTGGCTTGCCAAACTACCGATCGACCCGGCAAAAGCTGTTAGCGGAAAGCGACGCAGACCATATGGCTATAGGGGGCAGTGGTTGGTAAGCGGCGGCTTCTCAACCTTATTTTTTTTCCGTGACCTGCAAGCCGTCAGCCGTTTTGTTTTGGGTCTGCTCGCTCAGATCTCATCCCCTATTCCGGTGTCCGCCGCCCCCGGTTTCCGCAAATTCCGCAAATACCTCTCCCTCTCTTTCTCCCCACCCGTACACCCTGCCTTGCAGTACGGCTGTACCCCTCTTCAGTTGGCAGCTGCAATCGGCAACACGGAAATGGTCAGGGTGCTGCTGGAGCCGTATGATTTTGAGACCTCGGGCTCGGAGGTTCTGCCGCAGAACTACCACGGCTACGATTACCTCAACCACCAGGACAGCCAGGTAAGGGCCGGGGGAGAGGGGGGGGCCGGGGGCGCACTAGAGCCTGGGGGCTGCCTGGGGTATTAGCGAGGATGTGGAGGTGGGGGAGGCAGATGCGCGAGCGCGGCGCCCTGGGGCTGGGCCAGCGATGCCGGGCAGCACCCAGGAATCCCCTCTCGCCGTCATCGCTCTTCCGCAGAGGAGTCCTGCTCGGCCCCGAACCCCCGCCGCCATCACGTATGTCGAGTTACATCTCATCGCCATCATCGCCCATGGGCACTTTGCATGCTTGCCGACTTCCACACAGCCCACCTGTTTCTTGTAAGTCTTACTCCTTGCCTTCGTGTGTCCTTAGGGTTTTGGGGCGGCCAGGAGGGTGTGACCCCCGGTGTGCCTGTGGGTGGTCCCTCCTCACCCTGCAGGTCTGCTTCAGCGCGCTCCACGGTGCCGTGAATCATAACGCGCATGACGCGGTGATCCTGCTTCTCAAGCACGGGGCGAACCCGCAGGCGCTGGATGTCACCCGCAAAACGGCGTTTGAGGTAGTCAGGGGGAACCCGGGTGGCGCTGGGGGATGGGAGATGGGGCTGCTGCTTGGGGGAAGGAGGAGGTGCGGGGGTTACGATACACCGGGTTGTGCGGGGTTGGGATGATGGACCAGCTTAGGGTCTGGATGGTTGGTAACGGGCTGTGAGAGGGCTGTGAAGGGAGACGTGGGGCTCCCCAATGCTGTGGCGTGAACCCCACTTGGCCACTTCACATGGCCCTTGTAGTACCAATTCATCCCTTCGTCCCGTTCCGCATATCACTCGTTCGGAACTTGTCTTAATGCGTGCCCCGCCCCGCCCCGCCGTCACGTCACCAGCATCAGCACCGCCGCTAGCGCCCTAACCCACACCCTCTCCGCGCTCGTGCAGGTGGCGCCCTCCCTGGTGTCCCTACAGGAGCTGCTGCGGCTGGCGGTGCAGCGTCAGGATGAGGTGCCGGTGAGAGGGGGCGGGGGGTGGGGATGGAAGGTGGTGAGGAGAAGGGCAAGGAGGGGGGGATGGCGTGTCGCGTGGACTGTTCTTGTCCTTGTAGTGCGCAGAGCTAAATCAGGTCTGACACAGGAACAAAACCATTGCACTCCAGCATCCTCCTTCCCTCACACACAGTGAGGCAGTTGATTCTCTTTGCTTCCTGGACATGATCCATTCAGCACCCCTCCCCTTTTTGCTGCTTGTACACTCTTTCCTTGGCAGCAGCTTCACTCGTTCGTGGTTCTTTGGTTCGTCTTTCACCCCCTTTTTGTCCACACCTGCCATCTCCCTGCCACCTCCTGGTGCACACGTCCCACGACAACCCGCACGCAGAGGTCCGTCATTGTGCAGCTGATGGCGGTGGTGCTGGATAAGCAGACTAAGGAGGGCGGCACGCAGGACGGCAAAGGAGCTACGACGGCGGTCGCCGCAACTAGTGGTGGTGGTGGTGGTGGACCTGATGGCCCCAACCTGCAGGATTCCAAAGGAAGTCGCTCGTTTCGGGCGCAGCAGCGCTGGTCTAAGGCTGCCCGGTATGCGACTTCTGCGGCGCAGGCACCAGTGATCCCAGCACAGGTGACCTGTGTGTAGGGGTGTAGGGTGTGTGGGGGTGTGTGAGTGTAGGGGTGTGTGGGTGTGTGTGGGTGTGTGGGTGTGTGATCAAAGTGGAAGGGAGTTTATTGTGACATGTTGGTGTGCGTATGTATGTCTTGGTGCGCGACCTGGAGTGGGCCGTCTGTAATGGAGGTCGCGGTGTATGAAACGAATGTGTTTTCTCCCCCTCGTCGTCAATTTTATGTTTGCTCGTCATCCGCCTCCTCACAGCGCTTCACTTCCGCCATCATTGAGACCATCGGCAACATGCACAACTCGGACGTGGCATCCACCATCCGGCGCCACTTTGGAAAGCTGTATGAGGCGGTGAGAGCTGGGACCGTTTTTGGTTTTGGTTAGTTTTGGCGGTTGGTCGGTAGATGGATGGGTTAGCTCCAGGCTGTTCGGGTGGGCTACGGTACTTGCTAGCGGCGCTTTGGCTGCCCGGCAATGGGGTCTTGGGCGCAGCGAAAGCTTGTGGCGGGACGCCCCACAGGCGAAGCCAGTCAGATCTCCATTCCGGGTGTGTGTGTGTGTTTTCCTGTGCTATGCTTATATGAAGAGGAAGGGAAGTGGATTTAGGCACTCTGTGTTTGTGGTGCCTGAAAACGTCCTGGTGTTGGACTATATTACTATTGGTGCTGATGCAATGGATGCATCGGCCCTCAGGTCCCGCGTGTACGTACCACAAATACATGCTGTGCCATACAGATGTGCACGCCAAGAAACCGCTTGAGCTTTCTCATGTCCTTTATTTTCTGCCGTATAGAAACGGTACGACGTACTTGTGGAGTACGTCATTCTGGCCATCAACAGCAATCAGTACAGCTTAACGGAGATGATGATTGAGCGCATCTGCAACGACTGTCCGGACGTGCTGGCCAACTCCAAGTGGCACGAAACCCTGGAGCCGCTCGTGTGCACCTACCCCACTCTCTTTCATGGCCTGCTCTTCAAGCTGCAGGTACATCTACCTCCGTGTGTTGGGTGTATTGCTGTGTCGTGCGCGTTACCCCCCGTGGGCCGCGTGGCCCCGTGACCATGAATGTGATGTATGGGGTGTTGAATGCGAGTGCAAGTGCGTGACGCCGCGCCATGCCTTTGCCTTTCTTTGCACCATCCTCAGTCACCGAGTACCATAACCCGCCACCGAACCGCATCTACTATCTACTAATCCACCTTCCTTCGTGCGTGCTAAAAAATCGCACAGGAGAGAACCCACTCCAGGTCCCCTGCGCCCTTCCCGGCCGTGCCCTGCCCGCCTCCGGTATCCACCTGTCCTGCACCCTCCCGCGCTGTGACCTGCCGCCCTGCCGCAGGACATGCGCGACGAGGACGTCCGCGGGTTCGTTCGCTGCCTGACACCCTCCACGTTGCAGACGGGGGGTTACCGGGGGCGGCCTCAATCCGTGAATCCCTTGATGGCCATGTCGCAGCGGGGGATGACCAAGGCACATGCTGTGGACCGCGTGAAGCTGCTCATCTACCAGCAACTGGTTGAGGGCCTGAAAAAGGTGGTCTGAGGGGAGTTGTTAAGGCTGGGGTAGGGGAGTTCCGTTCCGTGTGAGAGTGTGAGCTCCTTAGCACTGGGCAGCTGGGCAGCTGCTGCCTAACACTGTCCCTGCCCGTTGCGACCTCTCTCCGGGAGCTGGGCTGCCAGTCGCATTGCAACCCCACCCCTCTGTCTCAATCCCTGCCCCCTGCACGACTTTGTGCCGCGCAGGTGAGCTACCGCATCATCAAGACCTTCTTCGAGGAGTCCGATCAGCGGCTGCTCAACGACATGGCGCAGTTCCCCATCTTTGCGGAGTTCGTGGGGCTGGTGGCCAACATGGACACGGGGAAGGTGGGGCAAGGAGAGGGGGAGGAGAGAAACAGAGGAGGGGGAGGGGAGGGAGGGAGGGGGCGGGAGGGGCACGAAAACTGTGAAGGGGCGAGGTATCCACTGGGGGCGCATGTATCCGTGTCCTTCGGCACTCGTTTCTTTCATGGCAACTTCGGCTTGCACCACATCCGCTCCGATTACGCCGAGGGCGAAACACATTACGCACCACATCATGCTCTTGCCAAGCACTGCCCTCCAGTGTCCCGCCCTTCCAGCTCACACCAGCCCACGTCGCTGCATCTCCCGCGAGGGGACTTATGCTGGCTTACTTGCACTTTGTTCCCGTGCCGGCGGCCATGTTGTTTGCTGGTTTGACGTTGTCACGTCGCATAAGCTTCCCCGCCAGCAGAGCCACCTGCCTGGGTGGGAATGAGTGTGCCCGGGCCCGCATGCGTGTGCCCGGGCCCGCATGCGTGTGCCCGGGCCCGCATTATCCCCTCTGGTAATCGCCAAAGCCCTCCAATTACCCTGCAAAGACAACGCTACCGGTAGGAATGGGCGCCTGGCTTTGCCCGTCTGTATTACCCGTCGGTTACAGTAGATGCAGATTGTTGATTTTTAAGGCTTCCCGTCCACGTGCTGTTATTCTTTTGCGGACACAGGCCATTGGGGAATCTGACGACATGCGGCAGGCGCTTTTGGATCTCTTGCGGCCGCCGAAACCTCCCACACCCGCTACTGCCGTTGTGCCAGTGGCCCCGTTTGCCAATGCCGCAGTGGCGGCTCAGGCCATTGCCGGCGGTGATGCCTCGACGCCGGTGACGCGGCCGTCGACGGCGATCTCCGCCGCCGCTGCACTGCCGCGGCCATCAGATGCGCCCCCTGTGACCATGGCCTGGGGAAGTGTCGACTCGAGGTGAGGGAATACACGAGGCAGCGGCGGCCGGGATTGTATCAGGACATCCTGGGTGATATTATCCCATAGATCCCTCATGTAAGCCTTCCACCTTCTGTCCTCTCCCCTTTTTGGCGTTGTACGGTGTTGTGCGCTGCATTCGGTTGATACCTACCACCCCGGGAAGATCCTGCAGCGCCTCCTCCTCCTGCAGCTCCTCCTGTTTCTGTTAAGCGGGTGTTTCACATCACCAACTTTCCAACCCGGCTGCCTTCCATATGTGTCATGTCCGTCATGTATCAAATCTCGGTGGGAATTTGTTTCTCTCCGTTGTCACTGCCCGCGCACTCACCCCTCGCCCCGCCGTCTTTCTCCCACGACGCGGCAGGAAAGTCCTCCTCGCCGCCAAGGAGAGCGCCGCCGCCCCTAAGGTCTCCTTCAAGCTCGATGCGCCCCCCAGGGATGAGGGCCTGGGCATAGGATCCGATTGCGGAGTTGTTGGTGCAGCGGGAGCTGGTGGGGTTGGTGGAAGTGCTGGTGACAGCGGACAACTGAGCAGCCTCATGACATCGGGCGGCAGCGGAAGGTTGAGTACTGGCGGCACCAGCATTGGCCAGCTTAGCTCGGTCAGCGCCGCCAGCGGACGGTTGGGGAGTGGACGCAGCGCCGGTGGCGGTGGTGGAAGTAGCGGTGGTGGTGGTGATGACGATCGTCTTCGCCGTCAAGCTCGGTTTGGGAGTGGAGCCGCACGCGGATTCGGAAGCGGAGGTGAAAGCTACGGCTATGGTGACGAGGGGGAGGCTGAGGACGACGACGTGAAGCGGCGGCGGGCCCGGTTATCGCTTCAGACTCTGAATGCGCGGCCGGTGTTGTGGGCAGCTGTCAAGGCGGGCAAGGCGTACAACGTGGAGACGACGGTCATGAGCATCGTGTCCTGGGTGGAGACCAACAGCAAGGATGGCAAGGTGAGGCTGTGACTGTTGTTACTGCTGGGAGGGGGGAGTTGTGTGCGATAATTCAAAGAGTGAAGTCTGGGTTGGGTTGATATGTGCGGGATTCCGGTGCGCTGCTCGGCTCGGGAAATATGCCGTTCTGCACTTCTTCCTGTGGGGGCTTACTGGTGATAGTGGTGGTGGTGGTGGTGCAGCAGGGGGCCTGGCCCTCAACTTCGCTCCGCGCGTATAGCTGTCACAGTACTGGTAATAATGGAAAAATTATTTGTACTAGGGAGACATACTGTACTATTATCGCTATTACTGCCCGTTTGCCTACATGTGCGTGTGTTGCAAACAAGGGAGCACGAGGACGCCGCGCAAATCCGCAGTCCACGCGGCTGTGCCCCATTCAGGGCACATTACCTAGCTCCCCCTCTTTTCCGAAGCTCAACGTCCCAAGTCCTGCATACTGAACCGCTTCACACCGTTGTCTTGCGTTCCTGGTGGTGAGACAGTCACTCCTGAACTGAACTGGGTTTTCCTTTGTAAAATCCTTTTTGTATAGAGGTATTCCCCCACGGGGTCTCTCCCATGTGCATCTGGCCGGCTGCCGGCCCCTCCTAGCTTGTTTCCGCCCTCGCACCAAACCCCAATCTTCGCTGCCCCCCACCCACCCACCCCCTAAAACCCTAAACCCCCTTCCTGCTCAAAGGCTGTTTTCGTGGCGGGTATCACGGCTGACCTAATCCAGGAGCTGGCCATGCGCTTCCCCAGCGCCTGCGCCACCTTGCTCAACTTGGTAAGCGCCACACGAGCACCATCAGCAGCAACAACAACGACAACAATAGTAGCGACATGCGCACGGCCGCGGCGCCGTGGGGATTGTATGTAGTAGTACATGGACCACATTACTGAACGCACGCACGAACGCGCACATATGTGTATCTTCTTAGGGGCGTGCGATGATGATGTTTGCACCTATGCGTGCTTTTGCTTTGCCACACACTCTTGAACAGTTACTTAGTGGCTTCGACAGGAGGAGGCACGTCGGAGCACTCGCGCCAACTGCAAGGAGTTCTGAACAGCCAGCGGGCAAGTGATGGAACTTTCAGCTGCCACATGCAGCGGCATGCTGCGGCGCGGTGCACGTCCGCCTAAGGTTTCCCGCCTTGTAACCTTTACACCGTGTACTCCTGCCGTTGCTGCCGGTCTCTGCTGCTGCTGCTGCCGGTTGCTGTTGTTGTTATTTCTTTGTTTTCAGGTTAGCAAGGACGTTTTGGAGCAGCTGGACACTCTGCAGGTATCCGCCAACGTGTTGTACGGCAAGGATCACCTCGTCAAGTGTAGCCACGTCAGAAACCACTTCACGTGGAGGGAGCAGGAGCTCAGGAAGCTCATAACGCTCAACCAGGTATTATGCAGGTTGGGATCCCCCGGTGGGTCTTTGGAGGGAAGTGAGCTTGGGGGCCCTAAACTCAACGGAGAGCCGTGACAGGGTCGGAGCGTGCTGATGATCCAGACCGTGAGGCGGTGGTACGCATTAATATGCCATTCCTATGGGCAAGCATGCATGCATGTAATGTGTCAGTAGGGGCTGGAGCTGGGCTACGCCCTATGTCCATATGTACGTGTTCCCCCTTCCGGATGCCCACACTGCTGTTGTGTGCAGGTGGCGACACTGACCGCCCATCCTTGGGTGGAGGGGGCCCAGTTGTTGCGCTCGCGCTCGCGCCCAGTTGTTGCGCTCGCGTAGCCCGCCAGTAGTCCGCCTAATTTCGTGGCTCAGGATTTGGCTGCTTCGACTTATGTCGTAACCGTCTGGGGGGCGCAACGCCGCCTCTTCCCAACCCAACTTCACCGCCCCACAACTTCCCACATCCACCTTGCAGGGGTACAACGAGCACGTGGTGGATGCGCTGGTGGATTACGGGGTACCGTTTGAGTGCGTGTACAAGGCGGCTGTGGAGATGGGGGCCACACCCCAGGATTGCGCCACCCCGGAGCACTTCGCTGCGCTTATCGAGCACGGGTTCACGGGCCCTGAGCTGAAGCAGCTGATCAGTAACGGCATCCGCCTCGCCAAGGTCATTGGCTACATAGAGGAGTGCGCCAAGGTGCGGCTGAGGGGGGTTTTGGGGGGGTCACCATCACCAGGTCCGTTTGTCAGTCAGTCACTCTGTCAGTCAGTCACTCACTCTGGCCTTTTCCTGTCCCGGTGTTTATTCGTGTTGGCGAGCCTGGCGAGCGGCACACCTGCAGTACGTAGCGGCTTCCTCAGCACCGATGAGTACTGCAATTGCAGCGTCGATCCCGAGGATTGCTCCGAATGTGGCGCATGGCTCTCGTGTGTGCTGGGCCCGCCCCGCCAGATCACCGCGGTATCCCCATGCGGGTGGGGGGCCAGAAGCACGGGCCGGCCGTCCGCCGAACCCTCGTAGGAACTGACCCCAAGCACTCAACTCCCACTTATTGCCATAATGGCCTGACGTAGGCATCCGCTTGTTCTGGAAGTTGCTCGACATATTGCTCTCATGTGAAACTCCCCAGCGAGTACGTAAGTGCACGTTTGCGTGTGCATGTGTGTTTTTCTCCTGCAGCCTCCCCCCGACGGTGTGGGGTCCGAGTTCGTCAACCAGCTGAATGTTGCTATGCCGGTGTTGTTGCGCGACATGCTGAAAGAGCGGCTCAGTCCTCGTATTGTGGACATCATTCTGAGGGAGGGTGCGTCACTAGGGGGGTGGGGCAGAATGGGGGGTCCTGCTGCCCGGGGCGAGGGGTGGGTGTGGGTGTGTGCGGGTGTGGGTGTTGGGGGGGAGGTTATGCTGGCCGCCGATGAGGGTTGCGGGCGGGTGTGATGCGGTGGTGTGCTGTCTGGAGGGGTTGGTACTCCAGGTTGGGTGCGTCCCTGCAGTAGTCGGATATCTGACTCTCGCGGCGCGTCAGGGTAAGAAAGGGTCTTGGTAGAGGGGCCATCTTACAGAGGGGCCACTAAGTCGTCCGAGATTTCGCTCCTTTCGTTACGGGCCCACACCGCACACTACACTTTCAACCTAACCTCTTACTGTACGTTGTGGGGCGGGGTCATGCCCTGGTCTTTTCAACCCGACAGAGAAAATGTTCGAAACCACCAAGTACAACAACTTCCGACCGGGTCGGCCGCTGCGCAAGGTCTTCCCGGAGCGACTTTTTGTGCCCAAGTACACGCACCATTTCGTACAGGTGCGTAAATGTGCGCACCGTATTACAGTGTTTGGCAGCAGCAGTGGAACGCTTGGAGCAAGAACCCGGGAGCCGCCACCCCTCTGCACGTTGCACCTTGCCTCAACCGTATCGCGACATGCTTGCTCCTTGTCATGTGTCTGTGTTTCCGAGATCTCGTTCTCCATTACCACCCTTTCACCATACGGGGCATGGAAGTGATGTGTTTCAGTCTCCTTCCTCCTTGTTTGCTTCACGCTTCTGAGAAGGTCCGCCACCACCACCACCGCGACTACCGCCCATGTGTGTATGTATGTATGTGCAGATGTTGCTGATCATGTGGCAGCGGGGCAACAAGGACGGCCAGGGCAGGGTGACTCTGCGGCCCTGGGCAAAGGAGTTCATCGACACGGTGTTTGAGCTCAACGACCCGCTATCCACGAAGCTGAAGAGCGCGTACGACAACAAGCTCACAGACACGCAGGCAAGGCTCACAGTATTTAACAGCGGGGGGAGGCCGGAGAGCAATAACGCCATCCCGCTGCCTACCTTCCCATCTCACCCTTACGGTTGCGTCCTTTCCTCCATTCGCACCCCTACTCATCCTTTGCACCTTGCACCTTGCATCTGCATGTGATTCCCCACCACCTATCCATAACCTAACCTAGCCTAACTTGTCCACAGGTATACATCCAAGGGGGGGACAACCCGGCGGCGGAGGGGGCCCTGGAGTCCAAGTCCTCAGGCTGGCTCCGGGACCAGCAGCAGAGCCAAGTGCAGGTGGCGGATGAGGAGAAGGCCAAACAGGCGTACATCCGCCAGCTACTGAGGTAGGATGCGACAAGAGCAAGCCAGCCGCTAAATCCCCAAACACCGCACCCGCCGGCCTCTAAGAAGCACCTAGGCCCGTCGCACATGGGGGCGAGGGCGCGGTGAGGCGTCTCATCGTCGTCTTAGTTTTCGTTTTTCATGATGCCGCCTCGCTTATCTTCCATCGCCGTTGTAGTGGGATGGAATGCCGGAACCCAGTGGCCGCCGCCACCGCCGCTGCCGACTCGCTGTCCATCCCGCCGCCTCCACTGCCTTCGCTGCTGCCGGCCCGCTGCCAAGTTTGCCCCTCCAAAGATCTGTCCTGCACAACAACATCCCCCTCCGACTTCCTTTCGCCCTCTCCTCCTCCTCTTCTTTCTCCGCCCCGCATTTCCTGTCGTCCTCCACGTCCTCCCCTTATTTCCTTCACCGCCTGCATCTCCTGTACCTTCTTCGGGCCCATACAGGATCTTTATCGGCAACAACTTGCTGATTCACCGCTGGCCCGTGTACCTGGCGGCGCACCTGTGGGTGTTTCTGGACGGTGCCTTCAATACCTACTGGCAGCGCCTGGAGGCCTTGTACTACCGGAAAAAGGCCAGGAGGCTCGGGCTGCAGATGAGCCTAGCCAAGAAGGCGCGCTCCGGGACCATTGATGCAGCAGTGCTGGTGAGTGAGTGAATGGGTGGGGATGAGGCAGGGTGGGGATTTTCAGGAGCCACCTGCCCATGCCGACACGTGCGCTGTGGGGTTGCAAAGGGGTTACGTTGTGGGTGAAGGATGGAGATCTCTACCCCCCGTTTCCCCGGTTATGTAGGGGGCCCCAAATCGTTCTTGGTTCCTGAAGTCCAGGCCAGGTTCATGCACATTCGCATGTTATATATTGGCTCACCTAATACAAACAATCAAACACTGCTGCTTTTTAAAGGAAGATTGCGTACCTCAAAACGCAGCGCGAGTACGAGATGCAGTTACAGCATGTGTATGAATGAAAACATTTTATACATCAATAGGGTCTGGCACTACGGTAAGGCGCGACCATTGCCCCCGGGAGATCCCGGGATCGATACCCATTAGGGTCAAAGTCCTTCCGATGGCGGAAGGCATAGCACCCCTAGTTGATGGACGGTGGTGACCTGGGATGAAGTTAACCTGCGAGCCGATCAGGAATGGAGTTGGGCCGCTGTCGACCCGGCAGATTCCGTTGGATGCTGGTGGTGGGTGCGGAACCTGAGCGATCCACTGAGAAGTTGACTAGGGTGACTGGATGAGGGTGCCCCGAAATACCGGGGAAGGCAGGGTTTCGCAGGGTAGCTGCCACGGGCGAAGATACACCCCCCTGTTTCACACATCAATGAAAACACAACACATGCTGGCGCGCACGTGCATGTGCCGCCACACTGCCGCTGGCTTTCCACGCACCATTTCTTACTATACTATCCAACCTCTTTGCAGGCATTTCCCATCTTGGGCCTGCTGCAATCCGACGGCGGCGACATCCTGACGGCGCTTGTGCACGCCGATGCGCCATCATCCTGGTTCCACTACGCCATTGTACGGGCAATGTACGGCCTCCACTGGAGTAAGTATGCTAGTGCCATAATACCATCGCGCGTTGCGCCGCCATACCATGCAGTCTGTGCGCATGCCTGTGACTTGCCGTTCAACTTGTTGCCCGTCGCTCGCCTTCCATTCAACTCCCTCACGCTCCCGCCTTCACGGTCCTCCCATCTTCCCTTTCCCCTCTCAACCGCCTCTCTAGTTGTGTGCCCCTTCCCTTTCCCCTTCCGTTCTCCCCTTGGCGGGATCAATCAGTCCGTCCCTTTGCCGACTTTTACCGACTTACTCGCCGCGTCCGCATCCTTGCCCTGCAGCCCTTGCTCACGCTTTGACGCTTCGTGCCATCCGCACCCTCCGTGGGCTTCCAACAACTCCAGCCCCGTTCCGGCCCCATTCACCCTCATACCGCCCGCCAACTGCCAACCGCATCCACCCTTCACTCCGCCCCTTCTCAGGCAACTTTGGGCGGGTGATGGTGTACCTAAATGCCGCCGTGCAGCTGCAGTTGGCGTCCGTGTTCCTCACGTTCTTTCTACTGGTGCTCAACTACCCGCCGCTGGCCAACGGCACCGAGGAGGATCTGGGGAGGATGAACAGCATTCCGATCATCCAGGGTGTGCTGTGTGTGGCCGTGGTGCTCAGCACGAGCATGCTCATAGAAAGGGTAAGCATGGTTGCGGCATATGTGCACCAACCCCCGAGCAAAAAGACCCGTGGGCCGCAGACCCCTGTGCTGCACTAGCCAACAAGTCACAAACGTGCCCAGATATGGACCGCCTGTATGAACCTCCCCTCCTTGGACTTACCCCTCAATCCCCCACCCCGCGCCGCGCCGGGCCTTGCTTGCAAAACCCCGTCCTCGCGCAGCTCCTGGAGGCCCGTGTCCCCCAGCTCGGTACCTGGGTGTCCTTTGGCCGTCGTCTGGAGCTGTGCTGCCATGGCATGGTGTGGACCGTGGCGCTGATCGTGTGGCGGGGGCGCTCCACCGACCTGGTGCCCGCCCTGAGCGGCCTGACCATGTTGCTGTTCGTGGCACGGCTGACGTTGTTTGGACTCATTACCGAGAAGCTCAGCACGGCGGTGTTGGCGCTTCTGGAAATCCTGAGCGACTCTAGGTGGGCGGTTGGGTGGTTGGTGGAGTGGCTAGGGTGGAAATGATAGAATGTGGGATTGTGGCTGTTATGGTAACGTGGAATTCACAAAAAGGTGTTGGTTGGGGTTAACACCAGCACAAGCAGTACCAGCACAAGCAGTACCAGCACAAGCAGCACCAGCTGTTTCTATTGATATTAGGATAATAGCGCTGAAGAGGGGATGTGTTCTCGGACGGGTGGCCATGTGTTTGTGACCGTGGCACCAAGGGCCTTGCTTCCCTCCTTCCTTGCCCCATACTCTACACCGTCGCAACGTTTTAGAAGACGCAGACGGTGCTCTGCAACCTCTCCACAAGTAAAACCTCGTGGCCCCCGCAGGTACTTCTTCCTGCTGATCGCACTGGTGTACGGCGGTTTCGTACTGGCGGTGGCGGGTCTGCGTCAGCAGACCGAGCACCGGCCTGCCATCTACACGTCCCAGCTATTCACGGTCTTGCTGGGGGACTTCCAGAGCTCCCAGCTGGCGGACGACGAGGAGCGCAGTGTGTGGTGGGTAACTAACTTTAGGGAACCTTTACATACATGAGAGCTATGTACCTGTGCACTTTGGTAACCCATGCAGCTAACCCATGGACATATATATGAACACACTATACATAAACACATGCACACGCAGGTCCCCTACTGCTTCCTGCTGTTGCTGACGCCGGTGCTGTTGCGCTGCTGCTGCTGCTGCCGCGTGGTGGCAGTAGCCGCTTCATCGGCCCGGCTCTCTGTGACGAACCGGAGGGCCGTAGTAGCCCTCCGCATCATGTATATTTATAGTTGTATGCGTCCTGTCTTCGGTGAGATAATTGGTCACCTGGTTCGAATGAGTCTTTGATGTGCACCGCACACCGGCCCTCCCGCGCAGGCGCTTCCCGGAGTTTTCTCTGGTCCTGTTGTCGTTCTACGCAATGCTGATGCTGATTGTGTTCATGAACCTGTTGATTGCCACCATGAACGACACCTACGATCGAGTCAAGGTGAGCGGCATGTCGCGCTCTGTGGGCGGAAAGCAAGGTCGACAGGGCTCGGCAGGACGGATACCACAACCTCTGTTGGCTTGTGCATTGTTAGATGAGCACTCAGTACTTGAAGGCCGCATTCCTTCAGCACTGCTTGTGTTGGTGGTATGGTAGCGCGCCGCGTGTCGTTGCCGGCCCAAGCTGAAATTAAATATTTTGCGTTGGGTGCGATTCCAGAGTTGCAAAAGTGGAAATGGACTAGATATCCCGGACGCGCGCGCAATACTCCAGCTCACGTCACGATTTGGGAACCCCGTGGCGTCATGTGATCATGGTGCGCAGGGGCCGCACCAGTACCCACTCACTGCTGTCGCCGCCGCCGGCCAGATCAGATCAGAGATCGCTTCTCAATAATAATAATAATATATTTCTTTGAAGATACAGAAATGCCACTACCACCCGCATACGGCCTCATATGCCGCACACTGCTGTTCCCCAAACACCCCCAACAGGAATTCCGCGAGGTCGAGGTGATGCGACTGCGCTCACACATGATGGTGTTCGTGAAGGACTTCATCAGGCGGAAGGGAAGAAAGGTCAGTGGGAGGCCTTCCCAAGGTTCCGCCACCCCGCGCCCGGCAGTCGGGCACAGACATGGCTGTCTTCCTCATCCGGCAGCGGCATCCTCTTTCGATGCAAACTTGCCATCCTGTTGCTGCGACCGGGCTGGCCCTTTTCCTCCCATAATGGTTAACCTGATACTTGTTCGTCCTGCTTAGCATCGCCTTCTCCTTGACACGCGTCTCGACGGGCCCCCAGGAGCTGGCGCCGCTCAACGGCGACGTGCTGCACCTGCTGCTGCGCCCCGAGGAAGTGAAGTCGGGGCGATGGCTGGCCCAGAGCGGCAGTGAACCCTCCGAGTACTCGGCCTGGGCGGGTCGCATCACCTACATGCGATCCACCATTGTGCGGGAGGTGGAGGCGGTGATGCGTAGTCACGCAGAGAAGGCAACGGAGCAGCTGGGGGCTATTCAGCAGCGCCTGGAAAAATTGGAGGGAAATGCCGTGGCCGCTGCGGCGGCGGCAGCTGCAGCGACGGCGGCCCCTGCGGCGGCCGGCGAGCAGTTTGCCGCGTTGGAACACCGCCTTGGGGAGATGCATCGGGGTCTGGAGGCGCTGCTGTCCCGGCACAGTGCTGGTGGGGTGGGCAGACAGCAGCAGTAGCATGGGGTTGCCAGGGAGACAGTGGCCCCGTGCCGGATGGAGGTTTGTTGGGATACAGTCAAGGGAAATTTGCACATTGCGCTCCCGCACCGACGCGAATCTCGATTGAATGGACGGCTCAAGCAAATAATTGCTGCACAGCCGGAGTTTTATGTACGGGGATTGTCGCTGTGCGGTGTCGCTACAGGGCAGCGATACGTGTCTCGCACATGGTCCAAGCTCAATGGCAGCCGCAGCTGCCACTGCCTTCCAGGGCCTCCTTGAGGACCGGCCAGCTCGATGGGTTTCACGGCGAAGCTGGTAAATGGGGCTCTGTGGGAGAAAATGCATCCATGTAATAGGTGATGCATCACACTGAACTCAACGCGATGACGGCAGCACGAAATGAATGAATGCGCATGGGTTGGGCACAAACTGGGCGTTCTCATGGCGAGAGCATTCTGGACGTATGGGGACGTATGGATGGGTGGGGAGGAGAAGTTGGGTCCAGACGAACGGGTGTTTTTGAGAGCTGTCTGCAGCAGGAGCCCTCGGACTTTCATTTGGTCATTTACACGTCGCGAACACCGCTGCCGCACAACCTGCTTCCCGCCGCCGCCGCCGCCGAGCGCGATGAAGTTGCATAGTTATCTGGGAAAATGCGCGAGGCGAAGTTCAGCAGCGATCCCTAGGTGAGCTATGATACATGAATGGCAGGAAGAACCACACGTGCGAGCCGCAGAGGCCTGATGTTAGATCTGCGCCGGAGCAAACGGGACTCGAAAAACTGGGCTCCAAGGGGGCAGGGGAAGGGGTTCGTGGTGGCTGCGAGGCCGCCCACGGCGGTCTATGCGGTGGTGCATGAATTGCGACGTTTAGCATAGGCCCTCATAAACCTGCAGCAGCAGCCTATGCAAGCGAGCGTATTGCGTGCGCATATTTATTTATCTTGTACATCCTGCCCCAATTTGGGTTACTCGGCGGAGCGCCAGGCGTTGTGAAATCTGGACGGACGGCTGGTGTCCGGTACTAGTTGTGTGATATACACACCAGCAAGGCTGGTGGATGTTGTTCAGGACTGACTGCAGGGGTCGAGTGATCGATGCGTCTCGTGCGCATTTGTGTGTGTGTACTGGTATAACGCGGCTATAGGGCTGGGGCTGCAAAGCAGCCGGCCGTGAATTGTTATAATAGTTGCCGTAATAAGTCTTATAGGACTTATAATATAGATGCGTATTATGCCGCCCTCACAGAGCATCGCCACGGGATGTGAGCGTGGTCGGGTCATCGTCATTATGACCCTTCATGTCTCGATGCTGGGTGAGGTGTGCGCACACATGTGCACCATCTTGCCGTGGCACGACCCTGCACGACTCGCCTGAAACACAAGCCAATGCTGAAGCGCATCATCGCTCCCGTCGCCCAGCCTTTGTACGCGGTGTCCATTAGCTCACATTGCAGCCGATGACGTGTTCTCGTCCCCTAGCTAAATATGGTGGTGGTGCTTTCACGTTTGGTTACTTCGTCCAGGCGTTGTTGCGTACAGAAATGGTGTCCCCCTCGTGTTGGGTGAAAAGTTGTCACTAACCTGTATGGCTTATGGGTGCTGCAGGATTATGGTCCGGGAAATCCGGTACTATCTGAAATGATGCTCCTTGAATTGGATTGGAAAAGCTGCTTAGGAGGCTGCACGTGCGCCATGCAGGCCGGCAAAGTGGATCATAGAGATAGGGTGTGGACGAGGCGGCGGCGCGAGCGGCCCTGGGCGGTACGGGAGAGCTCAGATAGCGCTGAGCTTCCTTCGCAGGGCCCGCGTGGGCTGTGTGCGCTGAAGGGAAGGGCACGTACGGATGTGAGTTTTGTGGTCATCTTCTTGGATGTATGGGGCTAACTTCCTTCCATGCCCAGCTCCCCAACATAACTTCTTCCAGTTCGCTGTTAGGTAGGTTCCTGAAGAGTTGTGTCCACAGGTTGTAATGTACACTCTCGCACTCCACATACACACAGTAGCACGGGGAAACTCCGTTGTTCTCTGCCTGCTCACTAGCAGCACGCACTTACAGCACACCGTGGCTTACAGGCATGCCGAAATAAGTATCAGGCCGCTTGCGATCAACATTGTAAAGGATGGGCGCGTGAGCGGGCGCAGGCGAGTGTAGGGGCTTCAGGCATGCTGTTCTCCCCTGATCCTGCACGACCTCAAATCTTTTGTAACATGCGTTTCCCTCCTTGCATATGTCGACACACTCCATGTATATTTGCGTCCAGGGGTCGCAGCATGTCTAAGTTCCGTGGAGACATCACCTTAATATAATACTTAGGTTAGGCACCACTGTTAACGCGCGACCACTGCACCCGGGAGAATCCGGGATCGAGACCTGTTAGGGTCCTAAATCTTTCCGATGCAGGTATAAAGGTAACCTGCGAAACGACCATGGAGTTGGGCCGCTGTCGACCCGGTTTAGATTCCGTTGGATACTTGTTGTGGGTGCAGAACCTGAGCGATCCATTGAGAAGTTGAGTAGGGTGACTGGACGAGGGTGCCCCGAATTACCGGGGTAGGCAGGGTTTCGCAGGGTAGCTGCCACGGGTGAAGATATACCCTTTTTCACACATCATACCCTTCTCTGGGATCCGCTTGCGCGACGTGCAGGTTACAAGTGTGCCCGACGTAATGCGAGCTTGCGTAAGTAAGCTGGGTTAGTTGGGCGTAAGGCCCAATGCGTAACTGTTAGACTAACTGTTTCGCAACGGCCCGTGTCCTCAGGGCCGTCATTTATTGCGCGCATTAAGCTGGTTAGCTTATCTTGTTTTTGTTGTTCAGCGCGCGCTGATCAACAAAACAGGTCCCGCGCCTTCGGCGCGCTTTCTGTTACTACACCGCTGTGCCTTCGGCTCGTCAGCGAGACCCATCGGGTAGAGTGCAGTGGAGAATATATAGCACTAGCACCATAGAGTTAGCCCACCTTATTGAAGCACCTTTAGTAGTGCTAGTGGCGGCGCATGTCCCGGTATCGCTAGGCATGACTCCGCTGGTGGAGGCAACTCACAGCTATCCTACATAGCTAACTGGAATGTCACAGACTGGCATTTCCTCGAGGGCTTCTGCGACGCAGTTTATGCCCCCTGCTTTCTCCGGAGCGGATCAACAACTCCCGCCCACCCCGGACCCAACAAGCTTGCCCCTGCAGCTACAACACTAAATGTCCTCTTGACGACGTATTTCATCAAGCTCATCCCCGAGGTTTGGGCGCGACGCTGAAGGTTTGCTCTTTAGCGGATCAGGAAATCTACGTCCGCCCACACCGGTGGTGGCTATGTGTGCGCTTCGTCCCATCCCTTCCGCGTGGCGACGGGCTCTACAACCCCAGGCGTGGAGTTTCC